TAGATGTGGCATTGCCGAGATTTCTGCAGAAATTGTAACAGATTACTTATTTTTAAGGAACTGTTTGTAATCATACCCCAAATATATATATATATATATATATATATGATTTATGACCTGATTTGTGTATATTTAACTTTTGATTCTTAAAAATGAAATGGTTTATGTTAATAGCCTGGGTTATGTATTTTTCCCCAAAACAAATCCCCCACCCCATCCCATATTATGAGTTATCTGTAGCAATTCTGTGAAACGTCTTTTTTAACACACGGCAAGGCTCTCCAATGTATAGAGAATTTGAGTCCTTGCTCTCTCTCATAAATGTTGAATCCACTTGGTTCTTTAATTCAACCTATGGCCTCAAACAAGGAGATCATATCTCCTCTTACTTTATTTATTATTGCAGATAGTCTCCTCAAGATGGCTCAATAATACTATGACCAATTTGGTACGAGTTAAAATTAAAATTTTAATTTAATTTAAAGTCAGCTATTAATTTTAATCACATATTTTATAAGATCCACAATTTTTCAATCACATGATCCGTCAATTTTTATCAAAATCTACTAAAAATTTGATTTTAATATCCACCAAATAGAATCTCTAACTTTTTTTTCTGAATTTACTTATCAACATGAGAGATGTAATCTAATTTCACATCTTGTATTTGCTGATGAAGTTTTAATATTTCTTAATGGTAAAATATGAGGAGTTATAGTATTATGGATTTTCGGCAAAATTATGAGGGCAGCTTTTCAACTAAGATAAAAACGTGTTTATAGCTCAAGCTAGATGCCCAAATTACAGAGTCCAAATGATAAAGAACGCAACAGGATTTCAATTGGGAAAATAAATAAATAAAAAATACTTTCGAGTCACTTACTTGGATAGCACTATCCAGGTGATTCAAAATAGGATTATTGGTTAGAAAAACAAATCCTTATCAGTTGCCCCCCGGGGCATAGCCCAGTGGAACAAAGGACATGAGTGAGGTAGTTTCAGCCTCACTGACAGTCGCAAGTGAGGGTTCGATTTTTTAAATATAGAATTGGACTCTTTGTGGGTACCAGTGCATGGGCAAGCTCTTATTCTCTGGCCTGATGGAGCACATCCCGCTATTTACCTCCTTCGCGATACTCCAGCGGCGAAGCAGTAGGTGCCCTCAAGGTTGGGGTTCAACAATTTTTAACAAATCCTTATCAGTTAATTTATATAGCGATTAAGTGAATGAATTTATTAAGGATAATATTGGTATCTAATATAGATAATATAATACTTTTTAAAAAAATTAAAATTCTAGATAAGGATAGATTTGGATTGGGTAATTGAGGTTGAATTACTTACCTTTGTTGCTTTCCATACGGTCTTGTACCCGCCTCTTAGTCAGAAATTCGATCACAAAGGAAGGAATTTGATAGCTACAATCCAAGAACCAAATTTGTGATGCTATTACTCTAAAATCAAGCCACAACACTCATGTTGAATTCTCTCATTTTGTAAATCCGAATTTCACCATGTATATTTTCAGTTTTTGGTGGAAACGAAGTTATATGGTAGAAGTTGATTAGGGAGGTTAAATTTCAAATTTAATTTCCAACTCATCCCTTCAAAATTCATCTCCATGTAAACCGAGTCAGGTCAACCTACATGGGCGGCCCGTTTTCTTCCAACATCTCCCACTCGCACATGATGGGTTTGACTTGATTCCAATATAATTCAATTATATTAATTTCAACATCTCCAAATTC